TGTCCCTAAAGTTGGGTCCATGTTTTACTTGTGAAAACGTTGTTAAACAATTAAAATAAACATAAAATATTCAAACAGCAACTGTAATTTTTTCGTCTAGTGTGTATTATCAGGTAATTCCAATCAATAAATGCCATAATCAGGCCATTTGATGATCGTCAGTCAACCTTCCCATCTTAACCTTATAAGTCATGGCGGCTAAAAACTCCGAACATTGTGATATTCTCAACCAGTTTTATTACTTACGAGAGCTGAAAATGTATTGAAATGTTGTGATATAAATTGATTTGTGTGTGGTACACATTTATCAACCATCAGTGATCAATATTTTCCTTATTTTTTGTGTAATATTCCTTAATTAATTATTTATTTGCGTGATAGGCCGAATGAAAGGACTAGACCCACATTACATACCGTAACCCTATCATTCGTTTTTCCCGTGTACAATTTAGGCGATAAACGAGAGGTTTCAAACTACAGACGAATCGCTGCACTATGTGCTACGTCTAAACTATTTGAGCTGATTGTCCTCGACTTCCTCAAGCATCGTTGTCTCAACTACGTTTCCGTGACACAACATGGGTTCATGCCGAAGAGATCCACCTGCACCAATCTGGTTCCATCCACGTCGTGTATCATCAAGACTATAGAAGCTCACAAGCAGGTCGATGCCATTTATACTGATTTTTCAGCTGCTTTCGATAAAATCAACCATGAAATCTTGATCGCAAAGCTTGAACGTCTTGGTTTCTCTGGTTCGTTGCTAGGTTGGCTAAACTCTTATCTGGTTGGTCGTTCAATGTCGGTCAAAATTGGCAATACTATATCAGAACCATTCCATGTCACATCTGGTGTTCCACAGGGCAGTCATATTGGACCATTCTTATTCTTGCTGTACCTGAATGACGTCAATCTAGTGCTCAAATGTTTTAAGCTCTCGTATGCCGATGACTTCAAACTCTATTATGTAATAACCTGTGAAGAAGATGCACATTTCCTTCAGAAAGAACTTAACCTTTTTTTCCAAATGGTGCGCAACTAATCGTATGAGCTTGAATGCCAACAAATGCTCAGTAATTTCCTTTGGACGTAAACGTTCTGTCATTTCATTTGATTACACCATTGCCGGAATATCTCCAAAGAGAGAATCTACTATTAAGGATTTGGGTGTTCTCTTAGATTTGAAACTTACTTTTAAAGATCATGTAGGATATATAACCTCCAAAGCTTCTAAATGCCTGGGCTTTATTTTTCGTGCTGCAAAAGAATTCTCGGATATTCACTGTTTGAAGACCCTGTATTGTTCTTTAGTTCGCTCTACATTGGAGTATGCAGTTGTGGTCTGGGCTCCTTACTATCAGAACAGCGTACAGCAAGTAGAAGCTATCCAACATAAGATTATTCGCTTTGCTCTTCGACGTTTGCCTTGGAATGATCCATATAATCTCTCTAGATATGAAGATCGTTGTAAATTAATTGACCTTGACCTTCTGGAGGTTCGTAGGAATGTCACTAAGGCTTGTTTCATATCTGATGTTGTTCAATCTCACATAGATTGTCCTACAGTGTTACGTGAGTTGAATTTTGATATTCGTCGTCGTACTCTCCGTTCTCATCAATTTATGCGTATATCGACATTCTGTACTAATTATGGCTATAATGAGCCTTTTAGTAGTATGTGTCGTGCGTTCAATCGTTGTTACCATGTCTTCGACTTTCATCTGTCACGTTCCATTAATAAAAATAGGTTCCGTGAAGTGCTCAGTTAGTAAATTATAGGTAGTAGTAAGAAATAGAATAAGGTCGTATTTTGTTTAGTCTTAAGTTATTAATGTATCATTTGGAATGTACTGTTCTGTTCTATCATTGAATGTGACTGTAATGTAATTATCACGAAATAACGATAAAAAAAAGGTTTCACGAATATGCTCAGAAATGACTTTCACATCTGCCACTCAACTCTCCCTATTAGCCCTACTCTCAGTATTCAAAATGTATGGTACAGACAAATGCAGACATTTTATTAGAATTCATACAGACAATTTGAAAAAACCATCTGGCATCCCTGATTGATATAAATGAGATAATCGACTACCGACCTCTTAGTGAAAATCCCATAAGCTGTGGGTATCCTTATTCGTGTATAGCTCCGGAATAAGGGTTCGGCAATAAGGATTCCTGACTGTAGCTTGTTTCATCTATCTTTGCGCTGAAATTATCTGCCAATGTCTTTACATGGCCATGAGGATGCACGGCCAGGGTTGCTTCCACTCACTTGCTAGAAAAACATATTTTTCGGAATTATGCAATCATTAGATGATAAAATGATATGTTGTACTTGTAAGTAACGAGAAGAGGGTTGAGAATGTGTTTGACTCATAAAACCTGTCAATTTGGTTTTCAGAGCGTGACAATAAATAAGCGATCTTATGATTCGTGAGCGTTCACTCAGAGTGAGCACTCACGAGTCGTAAAATCGCTGATTGCACTGAAAGCAATATTGACAGATTTTATGTGTCAAACACATACTTCACGTCCTCATCTTGTAACTTACAAGTTCTAATTATCACTATACCATCTCATGATTTCATAATTCTGAAAAAAACATTTTTTTATAGCAAGTGAGTGGAAGTAACCCTGGGCACGGCCATTCATTCTTGAAGCTGCCGTCAGTGATAGCGGTGGCGTTGATGTCGGCATGATTTTAAGCATCGTTAATACGTTATACCATTGACAGACATACAAAGCAGTACCGTTGTACTCCTTTAATCGAGTACGTCAAAAGGTACAATTTGAGGTACTAGCTTAAAGAAAAGCAACGGTAGTACAACCAACAATCAATACGAAACTAACGTTTTTAAATTAGCTCACTACTTGACTAGCCTATTGGTCCCAAGCAAATCGACTAACGTACCCCATTCTAGTATGAATTCCAGTACTACACTATGTTTGTTTTGATCAAGGGGGGGAGGTGGCTGTCAAATACGAACAATCGTCGCCTACCTCGCATAACTGGGATAACTTGTTCGAAACGTAAACAAGCCATAAGAAACCTACAGCGTTTGTTTACATTTGGAACCAGTTTCATACAAGAATGATCAGTAGGCTGATTTGACAGCACGTCCCCCCCCCAGGTTTTGATTCGCTATGAAAGTTTGACAGATAAAATGAGGGATTCGTGGATTTTCCCATGTTTCGAGGGGTGCATCGATTAGCTTGGGACCGAAGATAGTACCAGAGCTGAGCCAAAAAGTTGATCTCGTTTCTGCGGGACCTTCTGGTCTTAGTGTTACCTCTATAGTACAACAGTGTACTTTGTATGTCTGTACAAGGTATTACCATCATCATGGCTTGCCGATGAAAACCACCCATCCGAGTGTGACCAATCTATTGCACAGTCATTGGTTCTTGATGCTACCGTGAATTCACTTCTTAAAGTTTCATCGAGCTGTACAAAAACAGCTGAAATACACCAAAACAACCATCGAATGCATTAGCTAAATTTTCACCTATACCAAAATGATACCTGTAAACGGCCAAAATACGCATAAATGAAGATGAAACTCGTAATTTTTACATCATCTGTCAATAACTGACTTATAATCGAGCCAAAGAGCCAAATATAGCAACTTTCTATTTTTAAGTATTAGGATTCATATGGTAACTGTTAGAACAGACGAACTAATGGTTTCCGAGATATTGTAGCAGTTTAATAAAAGATGTTAATAGTTTCAAGTTTAAGATCAGACTGAAGCGCAGCTTCAACTGATGTTTATTTTAATGAAGCTTTTCGTGTTTACAGATGATTTTCAGTGTTACGTTTTCTGATCGTTTAACACATTAAAATTCAAGTACTCATGATTTCCATAATGTATACTCAGTGACCTTCATAAACTTATCGAAAGTATCCAATCCGGACACCACATCTATATGGCCAGGCTCTCAAAATACAGTTTATATAGGAATTGCACATGAATACTAGCGCTGCGTAGTGAGAGAGTTCTGAACTAATATGACCATCATCCGAAAGGACTTGGTCACCTGAACAACTTTGCTGAAGACAGTAACTTTCTATATGGCCAGGATCACGAAATAATCTATGTTGGAAATATGATCCATATATTATAGCACCCGTCATCAATAACATAAAAGTTATGCGCCTCTAGCGGCGTAGTTCCCAATTTAACCTGAATCCAATGGCACAGGCTTTTTGGTCTAAGCCAGTACAGCAACTTTGTCGAAGACAGTATAGCTTTATGTATTGAAACAAATTAGATAATCCACTACAGCCCCCATTAGTGAAAATCCCATAAGCTGCGGGTATCCTTATTCGCGGTTCATTATTCACGCCCCCGTTACCCCGGCAATAAGGATTCCTGACTGTAAATCGGCTTCAAGCAAAGTGTTCTTGGATGACTTTTATGCCACCGAAGTGGTCATTTGGCGTGAAACTGCTCACATGAATCATTATGCACCGTGCGTTTCCATGTGTAACTATGAGATATCCCTCCCCATGCAGTTGCATAGTAGTTTTCATCCTGGCACATAAATTTCAACATCAAAGTCAGTTGCTGCTGAATACAAGCTTCTACCAAAGCATCAACATTAGTTTGATTGCCGGTTTTTTTCCACACCTGAAATGAGAATTCAACCGACATCGGCTCGCAACGCTGCACTGCCACACGACCGTCGTTTGGCGTAGTTTTGTTCTCGCTCAAATCACCACCCAAGAACCGAACATGCGACCAAGCGGAACTTGCTGCGCTCTCAGGTATGTTGCTTATAGCTTCAAGCTTATTCCGCCAACACAACCGCGTGTTCGCGGCTTGCTTCAATAATGTGTTGTTGTTGTTGTTGTTGTTCGCAAGTGGTAGTTGTGGAAACCGACAATAACGACGGACAGCCGAAGAGGCGAGCCTTCGTGGCAGGTATCCGAACCTGGCCGAATCCACAGTCCAGGTGTGCGCGCTTTCCATCCATCCATACCTGGTGGCTACGATCTTCGGCAGCGCACTTTCAGTGCGGTTTTGGTTGCTGTAGTGTCGAGAGATAGCCCAGTGGTGGTTTTCGCTGGGGACGTTCGTTCATTCGTTCGCGTGTGCTCGCCGTGTGTTTTATTGCTTGTTTTAATTCGCGTTGTTTTTGTTACTGTGAGTGTCTCGTGAATCGCGTGCATCGCTGGTCGGTCGGTAGTTATAAGCCTATCCAGCCCGCTAGGCGCTGCTGGTGTCCTACTGCTTGTGGGGTTCTTTGTTTGTTGTCCTGCTACCTTTGGTACACCTTGGTTGCTAGGGCTGCTTTGGTATTAGACATTTGGTAGCATATTCTTGGATCTAAGGAGTTCCGTTTTCTGGGAATTTCTCGATTTAACTACGTCAGTAACCTTAGCAGCCAAGGTCCATAGCCTGCTTCTGCTCGAACGCGCTCATAAAACCCATCACATACCGCTCTCTGTCTGAACACAATGGAGAAAATCGATCGAATGCCGCGTTATGATTTTTTTTTTTTTATATTGTCGCTCTCGTTTCTTTTTTTATCATTTTTTTCATACGCTGTCGCCGTGCGTGATCGATTTCACCTAGTTTCAAACTCGGAGTGACGACCCCACTGCCTGCTTGCTGCGGACGGTGGACGTTTTTGAGTTGATTAAAAGTTAAACATAGAGCGCCCAGTGGCGTGTGTCGTGAAGTGCACAAACAAAACAAAAAAAAGCATAGAAAAGGAAAACAAACAAACACACTTACACCTGATGGAAAATCGATCGGAGGAACGAAACTTGCATCCAAGGGGAAAAATTTGATCGATAAAATTTGCAGGTCGTTTCCGTGTGCTGGTTGAGTTCGAGGAGAAAGATTTGAAATTTTTGCGTTTGCATTGGAAAAACATGAAATAGAGAAGAAACTGATGGATTGTTGTTATTGGCTTATAGTTGCGGTTCGGTTTTCGGTGGAGTGGTAAAAATTGAAGAAATGAAAAGTGTGAGGCAATAAACAAATGGAGCTCTGCTGCAGGCTGGAAAGTGGAATGTGAGTGCTTGCGCGGTGCTGTTGTGTACATGAATTCGTGCTAATGAGTCAGTTATTTGCTGCTGTCATGTAACGTGCTGGCTAATTCATATTTTTTTTTGTTTGCTATATGTTTATTGACGCTCCTCCCCGGTCAAGTGGTGGCGATGGCATGAAGCCAGTGCAGTAGTGCCAATTATCAGTTGATGAAGCGTAGCGCAGCCGAACGTGATCCCATCGTGGTACTGAAATTGACAACAATCAGTCAGCAGCAGTTTGTTATGCAAACACACGCCAAAAGCGATTTTTGCTAGTGACCGGCGTCGAAATGGCGAGAAGGCTACGGTGGTGATATTGATAGGGATGAAATGGAACCGGATGGATTGGGTTCCGGTTTCATTCTGTAGAGGACTGGCTCCCCGGATGTTTGGAAAATGCAGACTGAGCGCTGTTGTTGTTGTTGGGACTGTGAAGCTGGTGGCTGCCGTTGCTGTTGGTACCTACCGTAAAATAACGTATCACGTTATTGTAGGTGTGCTATGTTAGAGTGAGTCTCATGAAACCTCTCATGATTGCCGGCTGTTGACAGGCTGATATGGTACAGGCCAAGAGCCTGGTAAAACTTATTGCACTTTTGAGAAGTATTCAGGCCTATTATGCGAGTCGTGTTACTCTCTGTCACTAGTGAGATAACAAAAGTCACGTCGTGTGGGGTGACTCTCCATGCAATTCAAATAAAGTCAGTCACACAACTCGCAGAATAGGCCTGAATACTTCTCAAAAGTTCACTTGATAAGGATTGAAGGAGTGAAGCGATCAGCTGTTTCAATCCCGCATTTTGAAACGCCCCGCTTTTAAATGATAGAGTAATGACCCCATAAATTGTCTCAACTGTAGTTCCATTTTAAAATTCAAGTTTGATTTTACTGATCAATAGTTTGAAAATTTGCTGGTTATATAAATCATGTGTGTAGGCAACAACTAAACATGTTATAATACTATTAAATTGTTTTAAAAATGGTTAAAATTTTCATACTTGTTATAATTTATTCCATCAATTCTAATAGAAGTTTGATTGAATTTCAACAAATTTTTGAAGATCAGAAACTCAACCCGGATTACCTAACAAGAATTGCACAATTTTAATCCTTACAAAATTTTGAAATCCGATGAGATTTTAAATCAACGCTTTTCTAATAAATTTTTCAACCCACTGCAGTATATTGAGCCACTTTAAGTGTTCATTCTTCTGGAGAAAAGTATACAGATTTTGTTAAATAATTAAAAAAAAATCCTTAAATCAAGTTCTTCAAAACCATTTTTGACGTTTAAAATATTAAGCATTTTGCACCAAAGTGGACCGCTGTGCCACCGCCGATCAAGAATACCCGACTGCTTTGATGTCGACGTCAGAGTTAGTCAATGCAACTCTAACCAAACTTTTTACAGGTCATCCAAAACGGGACGGGATTCAAAGTTAATCCGATTTGAAGCTTACCCCTAAGTGTATCACCTGAAATTTTTTGAATTTATTTTTTTATGGTGGCTTTTTCTAACAGGCTTGGAAAATTAACTCGTTTAAAATGGACAAATCAGATGAAAAAATGGAACTTAAACTTTTCATTGGAGGAATTTCGGTTTTTATTTAGTAATTTATCAGCATGTTTTTATCAATTATTTAATTCAGTGTATTAAAACAAAAATAATTAGAACAACTAAACTCCAAAGCCTTCTAAATGCCTGGGCTTTATTTTTCGTGCTGCAAAAGAATTCTCGGATATTCACTGTTTGAAGACCCTGTATTGTTCTTTAGTTCGCTACATTGGAGTATGCAGTTGTGGTCTGGGCTCCTTACTATCAGAACAGCGTACAGCAAGTAGAAGCTATCCAACATAAGTTTATTCGCTTTGCTCTTCGACGTTTGCCTTGGAATGATCCATATAATCTCCCTAGATATGAAGATCGTTGTAAATTAATTGACCTTGACCTTCTGGAGGTTCGAAGGAATGTCACTAAGGCTTGTTTCATATCTGATGTTGTTCAATCTCACATAGATTGTCCTACAGTGTTACGTGAATTGAATTTTGATATTCGTCGTCGTACTCTCCGTGCTCATCAATTTATGCGTATATCGACATTCTGTACTAATTATGGCTATAATTAGCCTTTTAGTAGTATGTGTCGTGCGTTCAATCGTTGTTACCATGTCTTCGACTTTCATCTGTCACGTTCCATTAACAAAAATAGGTTCCGTGAAGTGCTCAGTTAGTAAATTATAGGTAGTAGTAAGAAATAGAATAAGGCCGTATTTTGTTTAGTCTTAAGTTAATAATGTATCATTTGGAATGTACTGTTCTGTTCATGCGAAAAGATGAGAAGGTTTTATGTCCATTTGAGAAAAAAAGCTTTTATAAGCTCCACTCAATGGGCTTTATCAATTATCTAATTCAGTGTATTAAAACAAAAATAATTAGAACAACTAAACTCCAAAGAACTGCTCATGTTTTTAATGAAGGAAAAATCGCCTATTTTTATTAAATTCTGATTTGTCTTAATTTTATGACAAGCTGCGTTTACTGTGCAAAAAATAATAAGATCATCAAAACTCCAAAGAATTTCTCAGTGTGACTAAAAAATACCAAGTACTTAACTAAAAGCTAACCTTTAAAAGACAAGTCTCCTTCCATCCCTTAGCTGGTTGTCAAGGTGATCACGCCGTGATCCACCTTTAACCGCTGACTTGCCATCTATTCAGAACGTGGTACTCGATTATGACGGCTGGTTTTGGGAAAAACGGCAGTGATAAAATTACCATTCGTACATTTTTCAAAAGTTTTGTTTCAGCAGATTCGTAATGTAATATCCTATCGATTGGCGTATTTGGATTTTAATTTCATTTATCAATTACAAAGTTACAAGCGTTCAAAACCTAACACAATTATTTTCACACATATTTTTGATTTGCACCCCAGTATAGTCGCAAAGACGTAGTTCTACGTCAAAAAACCAGAATTGTGAACAGTGAAAAAAAGTCCACGATCGTAACACAGACATAACACTCACTATCACATACATCGCAAATAATGTTTTAGTTGGGAATGTGCTTGCATTTGTCATGGTGGCGCCACTGAAGCATTGAGCAAGCCACCACATTTCAAACTTATCAGTGATGCCAGTTCTTTCTCACGTCTAGAAGATGTCAGCTCTTGAAAATGATAAGTGGTCAAGGCATCCCACTGGAGACGCATACCACATCTGACGAATACAGAAAAAAAAGTTGTTGAATATTACATCAAAACTGCTGCACATTAGTCATTCCGTCTGTAATATTCAATCAACTTTTATCAGTTATTGATGTTCAATACTTCACCATGAATTTCATTGATTGATAAGTATTTTTTCTTCTTCTGTGTACACATTAAAGTGATGAGCGGTGGTAGAAAGGGCACTGATAAGTGATGCATTACCTCGTTTAAAAACTTGTTTCCATCAAAAGAAAAAGCACACTAAGCAAACAAAACAAATTCCTAAACAAAAGTCTTAGCTTCAGTGAATTTTTCCTAGGGATACGTATTTCTGCAGAATTCAATCAATTATATAGATCTTTGGAAAATCTCGTAGAACCGACATCACTGACTTCCATCTGTTTTGTTTTTATTCAACATCAACACAACTGACGCGTTGACAGAACGAGGGAAAAGCAACTAGTAAAAAAATGCATGAACGAGGGATGCTCCGGGAATGTGGATGATAGATGGTGCTAGTGCGCATGCAAATTACGCTTGACGTTATTTGTTGAAGAATTTTCTTCTAAGAGTTATGTCTGTTTGTCTGTGATTCCACTTTGCTGAGATCTTAAAATTACAGTGAGGCAAGATTCAGGAATGGGAAAATGTCTTCAGTACCCAGAGAATTGGAGCGTAGCGTGGTGACGTAGGACTACGTGGTCTTATATAAAGCATATTATTTGTTAACTGCAGCAGGACTTTGTGTTTTGTGTAGGGACAGGAATTTGAGCTGGATTCTCTCTGTTTATACTCTTTAATATGACGCGCTTGACATAGATAGCCCCCAGCAACTCACGAAAAGCTACTGATTCCGATCAATAGCGGTGCAGCTTCTTTCTCCTTCTATGGATGCTCATGTGGGATGCAGCTCGCTGCTTGCAGGCAGCCTTTCGTTGTGTA